GTTAAATTCGCGGTCCGGTGCATTGGTGATCTGGCGATCCCGGGGGGCTACCGACGCACGGAGGGTGGCGTTCGAGAGGGCTTCTCGAGCTGAAGGGATCCCCCAAATTTGGTGGAGATCCGCCGCTGCGTTCGCGAGATAGTGACACCAGCCAACAATTGATTGCTTCTGTTGTCCTCATTTGTAAGTCGCTTTGGATAAAAGCATCTAATAAATGACTAAATAAATAAATATATACACAAAGAATATCGTCCGATATATCTTTTTTTACTCCCTAATATCGGTATCGGTCCCCAAAAAACCCATATCGGTCGGGCTCTACAAATAAGTACTTTCCCCATTCCCAGGGTCTGGATTTACAAAATGAAATTCTTAACAGCTATTTCCTTAACTTAAGAATGAATTTAAGAATACTTTGCATTCCCAACAACATTTAATAAGAATTTTCTCTCTTTGCTCAAGACTTTGCCAAAGGCAAAACTATAGAAGAATTAGAACTCCTGAAAATACCCGATACCGATACCGATCTGATACCAGTGAAGTTTTTTCCCTCATTTAAATAAATTTAGAATTTATATATCTCTGTGTGTGGAACTGATAATCATTCTTTCACAATCTACTAGATACAGACTACTTCATTATAAAGAAAAATAAAATAAACAAATATGAAAAAATATAGGCCTATGTATATTTATAATCTATGACAAAAATTGATCATAAACTAGGTTAGTGGATAATTTGGCAGCAAAAGTTATTCTAGAAAAATCAGTGCACAATAATTTTAGAAATCCAAACATTTACTGAAAAAACTATATTTTGTGGGGAACAAATAAAAGTGTTGCACTAAATATGGTAAAATGTTACACATTGCTATTTGTATCATTATAAAATCCATTAATTAAAAACATTCATGAATGTATTTATATATAAGTATATACTATAAAATTAAAATACATTTCTTTTAAATGTATAGCATATTTTTTAATAAGGCAACAACATATGATAGATAAGGACAAAACAAATACAGTGCAGCACAAACTGTTTCGGGGTAAAAAAAAAAATCTCGGATTTGGATCGGCTCTCTCTGACCGATACCCGATCCGAGAAAAATGGCACTATCGGAGCCGATACCCGATATGAATATCGGATCGGCGCATCCCTAGTAAATAAACACTTTAAAACTCCAAATTAAATCCCAGAAATCCCAGAAGGGTTGTTTCAAATGTTAAGCATGTTATTTAGTAAATTCAGTAACAAATAATTACATTAAAAATTACTCAAACAGGGACCTCATTTTTTTATTTTATAATTGGGTTTTATTCATGGGTTTTCTGAACAGATTGTTTTTAAAAGTTGAACAAAAAAAGTTTTCATTTTGTTGATCTTTATCATTTGATCTTCTACAAATGCATTTTTATCAATTAAGACCCTCGAACTTCATGATAGGTTATACTGCTAAGAATCGATTTCTCTTTGGAGATTTTAATGAGATTTTCACTTCCAGGGCTGAACTGCTGAGGTGGTCAATTAAGCACAGAGTTTCACAATAGAAATTTTCACTAGGGATGCACCGATACCAATACGGGCCTGATACTGAGCTCCTGTATTCGTACTCGTTAAAATGCCCCGATACCAAAAGCAGATACCACACAGCATGTGATAAGTGCCATATTCAGACACCTTGGACCCCTCACACCCAGCCCACTCTCTCTTCGAACTGTTGCCTTCTGGTCGGCGCTACAGAGCACTGACCACCAGAACAGCCAGGCACAAGAACAGTTTTTTCCCACAGGCTATATTCAGTCTGAACAATTAATCTTTCATAATTATACATCGTCCATCACAACTAACATAGTTATACTTATATTAAACTGCACACTTTGTAAATAACATATCTGCACACTAATAAACATATCTGTACATTTATCTAAATAATTACATTTTTTCCTATACTTCTATTTCTGTATATAGTACATTATTCAATTTTTCTTTTTTATTATATTAGTGTTATATTACATCCCTACTGTGTTATTCCTATGTATGTCTGCACTATCATGTATGTCTGCACTATGTTTGTACTTTCTTCTACACTGGAAGCTCCTGTCGTCAAGTCAAATTCCTTGTGTGTGTAAACATACTTGGTAATAAAGCTCTTCTGATTCTGATTCTGATTCTGATCGGGCGAGTACTGGAAAAAGTGGTATCGGTGCATCCCTAATTTTCACAATGTCATCCTATCAACGTTTCACAATTCAAGTGATCGCCTGTCAGGGCTGTTCTGTCCACAAGATGAGACTGTTCCCATAGCCAAGGTTATACTGCAAATGCTTTTGCCAGCAACACTGTGACTCTTCCCGCAGTTAGACTCATCTACTGGTCTCGTTGTTCCTGTGAGGAAGTGAAGTGCGCGAGTCTCTCAAGCAGTTAATAAACACTCTTAGTATTGGCTGTGTGATGCACACTTGGCAAAACCTAATACAGCCTGGTGACACCTATAGTTGTAAAGCACCAGAAATGGATCTCACATGGTGTGAGGCAGCAGTATGTTGTTATAGAGAGGCTGCATATATTCCACCCATACACACACATCCTTCACAGAGCCCCTGACCTAGAAAAGAGAGTTCCTAAGAAGTTGCAGAGTTATTCCAAACATCTGCCTGTGCCGTTTACCGTTACACCACATACACATTCATTCCCTCACAACCCAACAAAGAAAACCACAGTTACAATGTCAGAGGTTCTGGTATTGCAGACATAACTCTTTAAGATGCAATCTTTTAGAATCTCACAAACCAAACAGTATCCACACACACATGCCGGTTCCCAGCAGGCCTGTGTGGTGGTAAATGGCAGTGCTGGCCGGAATTATAAAAACGCAGGCCAAAGGAAACAGACAGGCTGATTTACGAGGCCAATAAATATGGACTAAGTGATAATCTGCTGAACAGACTTATTATCGCTCTTCTCTACAGTCGGATTAATCCACGTACAGCATGCAGCATCCTTTCTAGCCTGATCCCACGATAATCACAATGCACAAGCCTGAGGATTCAGAGTCAGTTAAAGCTCTCATCTATCTATGGATTAGGGATGTGCGCGACGACTAATTTGACTGTCGTTTAAACTAAAGTTTTGTATCCGACTAGTCGAATAGTCTAAAAGCAAGAAACCCCCAAAAGATGGTGAGAAAAAAAAAACCTCTTTGCGTGCGTGTAGCATATATAATAGCCTATATTTTAAATACTTAATCTATGAATCACACTGTCAAATCCCTCAATGAATTCCGCTTGCCGCACACTTGCCTCACGTTATCATCATTTCATTTTAGGCTGTCGTTGAAAAGAAAAAAAAAGAAGAGCATACACTCAACGTCGGCCAAAGCATAGCTTATTTATTCAAATCAGCTGGGGAAATGCAGAACAATGGAAAATCAATCAATAGCCTGACAGAATTCTTAATCTTCATATAACTTTAGCCAACATATTAAAACACAAGTCAAAAACAATAGGAAGGTTTATCAAGAAATACCATTAAAACGGCTTTTAAAAACTTACTTCGTGTAGGCTATATCGTCTAAAAACAAAACAATGCAACAATACCCATTTTACTTACTCAGACCATGCGTTATTTGTTCAGTGAAATTATCAACGTGGTCTGGTGAAAGACGGGACCTTAACGATAATGGGCGATTAACAATAAAATTCCTGCATTTGAAAAAACGCCCTCGGCAGGAACTGAAGCCACAGGCACGCAGAGATAACGAAAAGCAAGCCGATAGAGTTTCAGAAAGCGCCGGGACATCCCGCACCACCACCGAAGTGGGTCTTCGTTAGAGGAGAGACGGCGCGGATGGGATCGCAGCACCGGCGGGTTGTAGTGAATGACGTGATTGACATTTGCTGGCTTTAGCCAGCCTCTAAGCTAACGCCTACGTGCCTGTATTGAATATGATTA